GCCAGAGCCCGGAGCCCAGCGCCTGGAACGACCCGAAAACAGTGACCCTCAGTTCGGCGTTTCCCGGGTCCCTGCAGGGAGCCAGGGCTGCTCCAGGCGATGCTGGTGAACGCAGGCACATGTACACACGTCCGTTCCACAAACGGGAAAGCTAAGGACCCTGGGCACACAGACAACTTCCAAAGGGATGACGGTTCCTGTCCTGGATCCCCTGGGAACGGCTGGGTGTGCCTCAGGTTCCCGTTCCCTTACAGAGAGGGTGGTGGCAGACACGGAGGTCGCCAGAACGAGGGTGCGACCATGTCTGGATGTGAAGCGGACCTGGGTCCGTGCACACGAGTCTGACTGCTGCTGAAACTTTGCGAGCCATTTTATGTGTGAAATATAATTTAACAAATTCTTGTGAAAAATGTCATGACCTTTTAAAGGACAGCAATCTACTAAAAAAAAATTCACTCAAATGAGAAATATGCCAAAGAATAAAATAATGCTATACGTAACTTTTTCATTTATTATATTTGTAAATTGTACTTAGGTTGAAATTTAAAAAAAAATATTACAATACTATTTTTGTGTTCTATGAAAATTTTTGTAGCTCCATATAGACCAAATTTTTAATTACCCCCCCCCCCAACTATACACATACACACACCCTGTCAAGGGTGACCCGTTAAAATCTGGTCACCTTATGCGACGGTAGAGCCTAATTTGGGCCTGTCTGCTTTCTTGGCACTTCATTGGTCTGTTCGGTGGTGGTTGGGCACCTGGGACATTTCTAGCATTCTTGAGGTCCCCCCCCCCCCCCCACAAAGGGAGGTGATTCTGGCCAGCGGATGAAGAGCCTAGCACGGAAATGGAGCCTCTGCCCTTTGACCCCCGCCCTAGGCATCCGGTCCCTCCGAGCGAGGCGGGCAGCCTGGCTGCGGGCACTGCAAGGTCCGGTCGGGGAGCCTGTCTCTCCAATGGGGGCCCAGCGCCAGGTGACGCCCCGCAAACTGCCCCAAAGCCGGGACCCCCACACCGGGCGCCCCGAAGCGTGTCCCCCTTCCCAGAGGAGAGGGACCAGGCACGGCCACGCGCAGGGGGGTGCACACCACGATCGGCGCCCCCAGGAAGACGCGGGGTCCCCTCCGGCTGGGCCTCCCCGCCCTCGGGGCACCCCAATTCGCTCACCGGACTGAGCGCGCGGACTACAGCGGCCGCTACTTCGCCTGCGCGGGCCGCAACGGGCTCCACTTCCTAGAGGGCTCCGCGCCCCGGTCTGGGTCCTCCCGGCTCGGCCCGACCCGCCCGGGACTGTGGAGCCGCCGATCTCAGCCGCCATGACCCGCCCGGTCCGCACTTCTGTCCACCAGGCCGCGGCCACCATCCGCGGGCCGACGAACTACAACACCCAGAAGGCGTCGCGCGCGCTCCCGGTCGTTCGACGTTCGCCCCGCCCGGAGCAGCCGCCTCACCTGTGAGGCTCGCACACCCGTCGGCCTCGGCCTCACCTTCCCACCCGAAACCTCCCGAGCCGAATTCTGCGGTCGTAACCCAGGGCTACGGCAACGACGTCCGTTAGCGAGGTCTGCGCTAGCGCCGGCGGGCACGGAACTACAACTCCCAGAGGGCCGCGCGCAAGGTCGGGATGCAGCTTCCCAACGGGTGAGATGATTTCCTGAGGAAATTCCGATCCCTGGGGCTTGTCGCCCTGTTCCTCCTCCCAACCCGCTCATATGTTCGCCGCCCGCTCGCAGGTAGTCGCGCCACCCCGGGGACGACAAGAAGCAGGGACGTGAGAAAGGAGGGGAAAGAAAGAAGGGCGGGGGTACTGACCGGAAGGAAGGAAGGCTCGATTGTTCCCCGCGTTCCATTCCAGGAGAAATGAAAGGGACGGGTCTGGGTCAGCCGGGACGCACTTCATTACCCTCCCACTGTACGGAGACTCCCCGACAGTGACGTAACATTTAAGGTTTCTTAAAAAATCTAATAGAACAAAAGCACATGGCGACATTCAGTTTCATTTCATGGTGTGTTTGTCAAAGCGGCCGGTTTGAAATCGGCGCTGAGGAAAAAGGCAACACCCACCCGGGGGAGGCCGCCCACCACGCTGCCGCTTTTCCTTCTGGGAGTTGTAGTTCTTAACTCCGTGGTTCTGGGGCCCACGCCTGTCACTATGGACTACAGCTCCCAGGAGGCGTCTGTCCTCCCTGGCGCCAATTTTTAAAAAATGGTATTTAGGGGTTCGATCACCCTGTGAGGTTCCCTAGGACCCCCCCTTTTTCGCCCACGCTTGCAGCTATGACACTAAGGGATTCCTCCCAGTAGTTCACAGGTCAGGTTCCTATTGCTCATTGTGGCTATCCTTATGCTCCCACTTCATCGACGGGCAAACTGAGGGGGTCACCGGCAAGACAGACACACGCACGCTGCTCCCCCGGCTAGGGGTGAGGGAGGGCGCTCAGGCCCGGATGGTATCCGATGGGAGCAGCCCGAGGGGTAAGCTGCACTCCAGGCTGAGATGCGCCCAACACCAGCCCAGCCGGCGCCATTGCCCAAACCGGAAGTAACCCCCCTGGAACTACAACTTTCAGCAGCCACGCGCGGGCGCCCCCAAACCGGAAGTGCGCCGCCCGGAACTACAACTCCCAGCAGCCCGCGCGGCGCGCCCGGGTCGACGCCGGGGGAGCGGTCGCCATTGTCCGCGGCCGAGGTGAGGCGGTATCGGCGGCCAGGCCCCGGTTGTCGGGAGCGCCGGTGCGAGAGGCGGCGCCTCCTTCGGGGTTGGGGAGCGCCAGACGGGGTCCCGCCCCGCCCTTCCCGGCCCCCGGGGCCCGCGGACCCTGCGCCCCGGTCGGTGGCCGCGCTCGCCGCTGGACGCCCCGGCCCCTGCCCGCGCCCGCCTTTGTCCCCGGGCCGCGCGGGGCGAGCGGCGGGACAGAAGCCCCCGGTTGTCGCTGCCGGCGGCGGCGGCGGACCAGGTGCGGGCGCTCGCGGTGGGTATCCGGGCGGGAGGCGCCTGGTCTGCCCCGGCGGGCGGTTCTGTTTGGCCGGGCCGGTCGCTCCGGGGGGCGGAGGCCGGGGGGGGGGGCGGGGCTGGCGGGCGGGGCGGCTCCGGGGCTTTTCTTCTCGGACCCGGAGCCCTGCACCGCCCGGGAGGCCGCGATGGGTCCACAGTCCATGGAAAGGTGGCGGCGGGTGGGGATGAAAAGCAAGGATCAGAGCTGGGCGTGGGGGGCGCTGGGGCTGCAGCGGTTTTTGTTGTGTGTTTTTTTTTGTTTGTTTGTTTGTTTTTAAATTTGCAGAAAAGCAGCGGTTTTGATATTGTTTGGGGGCCTGTTGGTGCATTCAGAAAGCTGTGCGGTTGTCACTGTTCTTGGTGCGTGTTTATATGTCTGAGGGCACGTGTGTTACACATGCTCTGGAGGCCTGGGGCAGGGGTGGGGTCCGCCGCCGCCCCCAGCGGGCCAAGCCGGCCGAGGGGCGCCCCAGGAGGTTGGTTGCTTGGTGTGTGTGTGTGTGTGTGTGTGTGTGTGTGTGTGTGTGTGAGAGAGAGATATATAACTTATGCACATTTTATTAGTTTATTAATCTTCGGGAACATTTTTCTTTTTTTAATCTATTTTTAAAAAATACATTTCATTGACTTTTTTTTTTTACAGAGAGGAAGAGAGGGAGAGGGATAGAGAGACAAACATCAATGAGAGAGAAACATCAACCAGTTGCCTCTTGCACTCCCCCCTCCCCCCCAGGGTGTGCCCGCAACCAGTGTACATGCCCTTGACCGGAATCGAACCTGGGACCTTTCAGTCCACAGACTGACGCTCCACCACTGAGCCAAACCGGCCACGGCAATAAAATATATTTTTAAAAGAACCAGTAAAGATTAAGAAAAAAACCATCAGTGATGAGAGAGAATCACCGATCAGCTGCCTCCTGCTCATCCCACATGGGGATCGAACCCGCAGCTCAGGCATATGTCCTGACTGGGAATCAAACCTTGCCCTCCTGGCTCACAGGTCGATGCTCAATCCTGATCCTCTTTGCAGAACACTCTCATCACCCCTGCACCCGAGAGGCAGCCCCCAGGCCCAGCCCCCTTGAGCCGGGAGCCTCTCAGGGGTGAGGTTCCTCAGGATCTCCCGGTAGTTCTTGTTGAGTGGACCGGAACGGGCCTGGCTGCCTCTGGCAGTTCCTCCCTCTCAGCTTGTTCACATCCCCTTTTCTCTCCAGAGATCCTCGCCTTTCTTTAAAGATGTATGTGATTGTTAAAATGTCTTATTTGCAGAGACCAATTTGGCTCGGTGGATGGAGCGTCAGCTTGGGGACTGAAGGGACCCAGGTTCGATTCCGGTCAAGGGCATGTGCCTTGGTTGCGGGCACATCCCCAGTGGGTGGTGTGCAGGAGGCAGCTGATCGATGACTCTCTCTCATCAATGTTTCTGGCTCTCTATTTCTCTCCCTTCCTCTCTGTATGAAATCAATAAAACATATTTTTTAAAAATGTCTTATTTCTTGACTTTAGAGAGAGAGTAAAGGGGGAGAGAAACGTCCATTTGTTTCTCCACTTGCGGGTTCATTGGCTGATTCCTGTATGTGTCCTGAGGAGGAATCAGACCCACAGCCTAGGCGCTCCAACCACTGAGCTACTGGCCGGGCAGGCCTGTGTGTTTGGATGTAAACTCTGTTTTCTTCCAGCTCCTAGGACTTTCTTTTATATATTTATTGATTGCAGAGAGTAAGGGGGAGGGAGAGAGACAAACAGAAACATCAGTGATGAGAGAGAATCACTGGTTGGTCGTTGATCGGCTGCCTCCTGCTCGCCCCACACGGGGATCGAGCCCTGACAGGAATCGAACCCGGGACCCCTCGGTCTGCAGGCTGATGCCCTGTCCAGTGAGCCCCCGGGGCCTCCCTCACTGAGCTCTCTGACCGCCCGTCTCTCTGTGTCACAGGTGGCGCTGCCCTCGCCTCCGGCTGCACCGACTCCGGCCCACACCTGGTCCGCCCACCCCGGGATGGCGGCCACCAGCCCCAGAGCCTCCTGGGGTGAGTCCCCGCCCGCTCCTGTGGCCTTCCTGGGAGGGACTCCTGTGGCCAGCAGCCCGAGCTGGGTGGGGGGGAGAGTGTGGGCTTGGGACTCAGGGGGGTGGGGTCTGTCCTGGTGCAGAATTAGAACTGAGGGAGATTTTTATTTATTTTAAACACAAATGATTTTTTGTTTTTTATTATTATTATTATTATTTTATTTTTAAATTTATTTTATTGATTTTGTACAGAGAGAAGGTTAGAGAGATAGAGTTAGAAACATCGATGAGAGAGAGTCATTGATCAGCTGCCTCTTGCACACCCCCTACTGGGGACATGCCCTTGACCGGAATCGAACCCGGGTCCCTTCAGTCCCCAAGCCGACGCTCTATCCATTGAGCCAAACCGGTTTCGGCGACTTTTTGTTTTTTAAAAATATAATTTTTTTAATTGATTTCAGAGAGGAAGAGAGAGAAATGTCAAGGATGGGAGAGTATCATGGACTGGCTGCCTCCCGCACGCCCCCCACTGGGGATGGAGCCCCCAACCCAGGCCTGAGCCCTGACCGGAACCGGAACTGGACTCTGCCTCCTGGTTCCTCCTCCTGAGCCTCCCGGTGGACGAGGGCGTTTGGGACGGGTCAGGAGGGGAGCTCAGCGCGGTGCTCCGGGTTGTCTAGCTGCCTCCTGAGCTGTCTCCCTGGCCCGGAGCCTCCTGGTCCTGGTGGGTGTCCTGGCGTTCCCTTCCCACCTGTGTGTGAACATCGCTGCCTCGCACTCCGCGCTGGCTGCGCCTCAGTCCCCAGAGCGTCTCTCTGCTTCTCGTGTTTTTAACTCCATGACATGGGGCGTGTGGTCAGACAGGCCGCGCGCTCTGCTGCTGGGGCCGTGTCCTCACAGGCTCCGGGCTCGGGCCGGGCTGTGCCGCCAGGGGACACTCTGCACGCGTGTCCCCAGGATCGGTCACGCGCCCTCCTTTCTGCCTGGTCTCCGTGCAGGTGTCCTCGCCGCCCGGCCCTGGGGGACGGCCGCTGCTCACCCCTGGGCCTGCCACGCCGTGTCCTCCGTCAGCAGGGACCCCGAGGAGCCAGGTGGGCGGGCGGGGCCGGGGGGAGGGGCGGTGGTGGTGGTGGCTGGGGTGTGTGTGTGTGTGTGGCTGGGGTGTGTGTGTGTGGTGGTGGGGGGGGGTGCCTCCAGGGCTGAGCAGACGCTGCTTCTCAGAGCAGGGCCTCAGCAGGGCAGACGGTGATGGGGGGCTCCCCCTGCAGGGGGAGCATAGCGCCGGCCAGGCCGCTGAGCACCCCACGGGGCGGGGCTGGGGTGAGGTGGATCGGGCGGGCGCCGGGCACACTGCGCAGGGAGAGCCTCAATGCCTGTGCTTCCCTCCAGCTCCGTGTCCTCGGGACCCGGCCCAGCGCGTGGAGGAGGCCCCCGGGGCAGGGAGCCGGCTGCCGGCCCCAGAGCAGGTGAGATGGGCTCCCACCCCCGAAGGTCACGGTCCCCCCACCCGTCCCGTCCCTCCCTCCGGGTGCTGGTTCCATGTGCGACGGCTACTCGGGCAGAGCAGGAGCCAGTCCACACCTGTCCCTGCTGCGCTCAGGACGGGCTCAGCCTCCACCCCCTGAGCCTCGTCCCCCATCCCCAGCCCGCTCCCCCTGAACCCGCCCCCTCTGAACCCGCTCCCCCTGAGCCTGCCCCCCTGAATCCACTGCCCCCCTGAGCCTCGTCCCCCATCCCCCGCCCGCTGCCCCTTGAACCCGCTCCCCCTGAACCCGCCCTCAGCCCGCCCGCTCCCGCTGAACCCGCACCCCCGAGCCCACTCCCCCTGAACCCGCTCCCTCTGAACCCGCTGCCCCCTAAGCCTGCCCCCTGAACCCACCGTCCCCCTGAGCCCACTGTGTTGGGGGGTTTGGTGAGTGAGGGGCAGCCCCCTGGTTATCAGGCCCCCTCCCCCCATCTCCCCACCCCCTGTATTCCTCTGGGTTCAGGCTGGTGTCTCCTGGGCTGTGCTTGCGGAGGGAGGGAGGGAGAGAGGGCGGGCCAGTGGAGCCGTCCTGAGGCTCCCAGAGTGCTTTCCTCGCTCTGAGGCCTGGTCACCTGCTGGAGTTGGGGACAGAAGCTGGGCAGCCCTGGAGGAGCCCAGCCTGTTGGTGCCTTGATGGTTGGGGCGCAGAGAGGGGAGGGGGGCCTGGGAGAGTGGACTTGCTGAGCCCAGAGGACCATCCAGAGTTTGGCTGGTGTGCAGGTCGGGCTCGGGTGGCACCCATGGTGGGGGCAGAGGAACAGCTGCCCCAGCTCCAGTGCCGCAGGCCAGGCCGGCTCCATCCTAGTGACTGGGAGACTCGGCAGAGCTGGGAGCAGGAGGGCTGGGGAGGGGGTCTGGCAGGGTGGGAGAGGGGCCGTGGGAAGCAGCCGGCATTGCAGGTCAGTCCGGCCGGGCCCTGGACCAGGACCTGAGGGAGGAGGGCCTCAGGCTCCTGAGCGGAGGGGGCGATGTGCCCAGGCCCTTCCCTTCGCCCAGCCCCTCCCCCGCCGCAGCCACTTAGAAAAAGTTTACACCGAGCAGGTGGCTCTGGTTGAGCATCCACCTACGAACCAGGAGGCCAGGGTTCGATTCCCCATCAGTCAGGGCACAGGCCCGGTGGGGGCGTGCAGGGGGCAGCCCATCCATGATTCCCTTTCATCAGTGGGGTTTCTCTCTCCCTTCCTCTCTGAAACCAATAAAAATATATTTAAAATAAAAGAAAAGGAAAAAGTTTGTTATAACAGCTTCATTCCCATACACAAAGTCCAACCCTTACAGTGCAGGCTGCAGAGGCTCACAGGGCTGAGAACCATCACTAGAGCCAATTGTGGAGCCTTTTCACCCCCCACAGGCCATCCCCGTCCCCATCCCGGCCACCCACCCCGTCCCAGCCACCCTGTCCCGGCCACCCCGAGCGCCCAGGCACTGGCCGGTCCCGGACATGGGACACGGGAGTCACACACGCGTGCCCTCTGGTCATCGGTCGGTGTTTAGCAGCGTCAGCATTTTCTCTGTGATTCCAGCCTTTTACACTTCCTGCCTCGTCTCCTGGGTCCTGTTCCCAGCACAGCACAGGCACACCCACGCTGACCTGACAACAGCGGGAAGGAGCTTCAATGCTGGGCTTAGGTCACTCGTTTCTAAACAAAAAGACAAAAGATGAGCCAGCAAATGTGCACTAGCAGGAACCTCCCGGTTTCCACGGTGACGGCGCCCGAGGCTGTGGCGCCACGGGGTGTCTGCTCAGGGCTGGGGCCAGGTGTTGGCTGCTGCCTGAGTCAGGGGCTGTGACCCAGGGGCGGGCAGTGCAGCTGCTGGGCCGGCCTGAGGGGGACAAAGGCCTGACCAGCCTGCAGGACCTGCCGCACTGCAGCCTGTGGCTCCTGAGAACCGGAGGCTGGTGCACAGAAAGTGAAACGGAGTCAATACTCCCCCACCCCCACCCTCAGGGCCTCTGGGCCCCTCCACAGCCTTCACCTGGAAACAGCCCGGGCCGCCCCCTCCTGCCTTTCGCCCCCCCCCCTCCTCCCTTCCTGACAGTCTGGCCGGAGCCTGTGGGCAGGAGGTTCCTGCCAGCGGGTGCTCCGGTCCATGACAGAGCATCAGGGAGAGTAAGGACGCCCCAGCCGCCCCCCAAAACCTGCATGGCCGATGGCCCTCCAATACCCGACTTGCACTCCGTACCCTCCGGGTCTCCCGAGGAGCTTGCCCTGAGGTAGAAATAAACAGTGAAACCCGGGGGTTCCAGAGGCCGACAGGGCCCCAGGGCCCAGGACGGCGCAGTCAGAGCTCAGGCAGGACAGGAGCCAACCCGAGTCCCCTGGGGCGCGGCCTCGTGGTGAGCCGTGCGGCTGGTGTGCTGGAGGCTCCTACAGCCTGGATGCCGGGTGAGCACGTGTGTGAGGCACGTGAGCAGGAGTGTGGGCCTGACCCCGTGGCATGTCTGCCTTCCCCGTGGCAGGTGCCTGGAGGGGTCACTGTTGGCCGGGCCTGCTCTGTCCCCCGGTGCCAGGGAGTGAGCCTGGGGGCCTGGTCCCCACTTGGCCTCCCGGTGTGCACTTGGGCCTGCCTCCCTCAGGCCTCGTGAGCTGGAGACCCTGACACGGGCCCGTTCGCCTGTGTATGTGCGTGTGTGTGTGTATGTGCGTGTGTGTGTGTGTGTGTGTCCCGGTCCATGGCCCTTCCAGTTTGACGCCACCTTCGGTTCCAGGTGTGCTTTAAGAATAATCGGACAAATTCCCCAGTTAGTGGACAACAAGTAACAAACAGAACATAGTCCTCATCTCCCGAGGTGACCTTGCTCATCCCGGGCCACGCTGCCCAGCCCCCTCACACCGCGTGGGGTGCTCCTTCAGGCTCACGTGCAGGTGATGAGGTTTATTTAAATACACATTGTTACTGATTTCAGAGAGGAAGGGAGAGAAACATCAACAATGAGAGAGTCATGGACCAGCTGCCTCTTGCACGCCCCACACTGGGCACCGAGCCTGCAACCTGGGCCTGTGCCCCGACCAGAGGGTTGAACCCGGGGCCCTTCAGTCTGCAGGCCGACGCTCTCCACTGAGCCACACCGGCCAGGGCTGCGCACAGCCTTTCTGCAGCCCTGCACTTGGCCCAGCGTGTGCGGGGTGGAGGCCAGGTTTGCTTCCGCCCGGCCGCACTGGCCGCACGTGTCATTGAGGGCTCTGAACATGGGGACATTCTCCCTGTGATTCGAGCTGCCGCCTGGAAGAGCCAGGACGGTCCCCCTGGAGCGGCGAGTGCGTCGGGTGCCCCCGTGATGGCCGGCGGGCGGGCGCCCCTCCTGTCCCGTGGCCTCCGCTGCTCCGCGCCGGCCCCTCGGGCTCCGCGGGCGTTTCACATGCTCCGCCTGCTGTCCGCCTCCGGCTGTTCTCAGCAGCTGATGTGAGCGGCCTGTCTGGGTGGCTGGCGGTGGTGCTGTTTTTGTCTTTTTAAAAATATATATTTTATTTATTTTTTCGGAGAGGAAGGGAGAGGGATAGAGAATTAGAAACATCGATGAGAGAGAACATCGATCAGCTGCCTCTTGCACATCCCCCACCAGGGATGTGCCCGCAACCAGGGTACATGCCCTTGACCGGAATCGAACCGGGACCCTTCAGTCCACAGGCCGACGCTCTATCCACTGAGCCAAACCGGTTTTGGCAAGACCTTTCCTTAACGTAGGAGGTCTCTAAGCAACTGGGGACCTGAAGGGAGTATTGGTCTCCTGTGGCCACTAACACCCCACAGGGACGGCTCAGGGCAGCCTGCACTGCTCTCCTGGGGGTCCAGCCGTCCGGGGCCCAGCCGTCCGGGGCCCAGCCGTCCGGGGGTTCAGTCGTCCGGGGGTTCAGCCTCCTGTAAACCAGGGCGTTGGCAGCACGTCTCAGCCACCTGGTCACCTGGGAGAGGCCTCTTTCACATGGCAACCGCCCACCCACAGTCCCCGTCCCTGCTCAGTCCTCCCTCCCACCCACAGTACCGTCCCTGCTCAGTCCTTCCACCCACAGTACCGTCCCTGCTCAGTCCTCCCGTCCTCTCACCCCCAGTACCGTCCCTGCTCAGTCCTTCCACCCACAGTCCCCGTCCCTGCTCAGTCCTCCCGTCCTCCCACCACCCAGTACTGTCCATGTTCAGTCCTCCCACCACCCAGTACCGTCTGTGCTCAGTCGCCGCTCTGGAAGCTCCTGGGCCACGGTCCTGTGACTGCCCCGCGTGGCCCGGGAGGTGTGGTTGCTGAGTCTCATCCCTGTGCCCGCCCTGCACTGGTGGCTGGGCCGGAGCTGGCGTGGGTTCGGGCTTCGTGTTTTGGCAAGAGTGCTTCCTAGCGGCGCTGGGTGCTCGTGGGGAGGGCGGGTGTCCATGGGCTCAGGGTGCCTGGCTGCCCCACCTCAGGGGCGGAAGGGGGGCGGCAGGGGGTGCCCGTGGGCTCAGGGTGCCTGGCTGCCCCCTCAGGCTCCCGCTGTGGCGGCTCCTCTAAGGACCGGACGGACCCTTTCACTGTAAACGTCCCCTCGGATCCAGTGCCTCCTCCTGTTCCTGCCCCAGTGTGCTTCCCAGGTCTGCGCTTCCAACGTCCTCAGGGGTTTGTCAGGACTGTTCCGGTGGCTGAGTCCTGCCCACCCCCCCCTGGTCTGCAGGAAAGAGGGTCTGTGCTGCAGGACGGGTGTGCATGTCGGACCCCAACCAGCTCCCACCTCCCAGGGCTCCCAGCTCCCGGCTCCCAGGCCCGCCTCCACCCTGTCCCCTCCTGAGTGCCTGGGTCTCCAGAGGAGGCGCTGCCCAGAGCATCAGTCCGCACTGTCTCTGTCCCGAGGACGGGCAGGGTCTCAGGAGACGGGAATGTGCTGTGGTCGGTTGGCTCAGGGAGCGATCCCCTGAGTCCCGGGCGACCCGCCCTCCATGAAGATTGTGCCTCCATGAGGTCATTGAAAACGCAGGTGCTTGCCAAAACAGATTTGGCTCAGTGGATAGAGCGTCTGTCTGGACTGGGGGGTCCCGGGTTCGATTCCGGCCAAGGGCATGTACATTGGTTGTGGGCACATTCCCGGTGGGGGATGTGCAGGAGTCAGCTGGTCCATGTTTCTCTCTCGTCAGCGTTTCTAGCTCTCTATCCCTCTCCCTTCCTCTCTGTGGAAAATCAATAAAATATATTTAAAAAAGAAAAAAAAAGAAAATGCAGGTGCTTCTCCACATCTGGCTCCTCGGCTGTCCACCCCTCTGTCCTCAGAAAGCCCTGAGGGGCCCAGGCAGATGGGGCGCAGGCTGAGGGGGTGCAGGCTGAGGGGCCCGGGCTGAGGGGGCCCAGGCGGAGGGGGCCCAGGTGGAGGGGGTGCAAGCTGACGGGCCCGGGCTGAGGGGGCGCAGGCTGAGGGGCCCAGACTGAGGGGCCCGGGCCGAGGGGGTGCAGGCCGAGGGGCCTGGGCTGAGGGGGCCCAAACTGAGGGGGTGCAGGCTGAGGGGCCCGGACTGAGGGGGTGCAGGTTGAGGGGCCCGGGCTGAGGGGGTGCAGGCCGAGGGGCCCAGGCCGAGGGGCCCGAGCTGAGGGGCTGTGCTCTTTCAGGAACCGCTGACCTTCCGGGATGTGGCCGTGGACTTCTCCCCGGAGGAGTGGGGGCGGCTGGGCCCTGCGCAGAGGACGCTGTACCGGGACGTGATGCTGGAGACCTTCGGGCACCTGCTCTCCGTGGGTGAGGCCGGGCTGCCCCGTGACGAGCCTTTCCATTCCCAGACAGGCTGCTCCGGGCTCCGGGCTCCGGGCCCACAGCCTCAGGCCGAGAGGATGCCCGGCCGGCCGCTGGCCTGGCTCAGGGGCTGAGCACTTACCCATGAACCAGGAGGTCACCAGGTCATGGTTTGATCTCTCATCCAGGCTCATTCTCGTGGGGGCTCGATCCCCAGTGGGGGGCATGCAGGAGGCAGCCAATGGATGTTTCTCTCTCTCTCTCACTCTTCCTTAAAAACCAATAAGAACATTGAAAAGGTAATCTGGAGCCGAGGTTCCGGGTGGATTCCCTGTGCTTCTCCAGCAGGAAGTGGGGGAGTCAGGAGGAAGGGGTGGGGCTCCCCAGATGATGGACGGTCCCTGCTTCTCCCTTGCAGGGGCTCAGGTCGCCAAGCCCGCAGTCATCTCGCTGCTGGAAGAGGGCGCAGAGCCCTGGCGGGCGGAGCAGCCCCGAGTGCGGAGTCCGAGTCCAGGTGAGAGCAGGCGCGCAGGAGGGTCCTTGTCCGTCCGAGGAGTCAGTCATCAGACCCGCAGACCCCTCGAGGGCGCGTGGCACTGGCTGCTGACGAGTCAGAGCAGACACACCTCCTCACAGGCTGCTCGCCCCTTCCCACCTGCCGCCCCCGCAGCCTCTACCTTCCCGGCTGTGCCTGTCGCTCCAGCCGCCTCCCATTCTCTCACCTGCTCTTCGTCCTTAGTTTGCTCACTCCCACACCTGTAGCCTCAGCTTCAGCCGTGGCTTTAAAAAGCCAAATGAGAAAATAGGTCTTTAAGGGAGGTAACATGTTCACCTGGTGAACACTCACAGCTGTGTGAATACGTAAGCTGATGTACACTCCTTCTTCCACACGTTATTCTCACCCCAGACACACACGCACACGCACACACACACACACACACACACACACACACACACACATGGAGGCACGCGCACACACAGGCACATGCACAGGTAACCTGTATTTTTAATATGTGGGCGTTTTTTTAATTGACTTCAGAGGAAGGGAGAGAGAAACATCCATGATGAGAGAATCCTGGATCAGCTGCCTCCTGCACAACCCCTCCTGGGGACTGACGCTCTTTCCACTGAGCCAAACCAGCTAGGGCTCAAGTACACACTTTTGATAGTCCTTTCTCAGTGGAATTACAAATCACACACTTAATTTTTTCAGCAACAAATTGTGACCTATGTGAAGTGCCATACACTAGGGGAAGCTTGCCTGGGGGCCCAGGGTATTTCTTGGGAGTTGGTCACACAGGCGCACACATGACTGGCTGGGGCAACCATGGAAACTCCAGACTCTGGAAGGAAAGAAGGTGCTCACCGTAAACAATATTGTTTGTACAAATCATGTAGAGAAATTGGTACCCAGGCTTCAAAGCCTGAAGCATATAAAACACTCATAAGTTAGAGCATTCTGAGACCTCGCTTTCTAGGAGCTGGCCGAAGCCCAGACCCAAACTAGGCCTTCTTGGGAACGTGCAGTTTGAGCAACTCATAGGGGTAGTTGTCTCTTTCCTGCACACCCTCATCCAGTCTTTCCTTCTTTTCATGGAAAAATGCTGAAGGTATTTTATTAGTACTCAGCACACTTTATATTGTTGTCAGCTGCTTCTGTTCTCTCTTTACTATTTTCCCTTTTTCTGTTATGATGTTCCTCTTGAGTTGTGAGTCTATTTGAAAACTACTTCACACTTGCCCTCTCAATAACATGGACGAAAAACCCACCTTTTACACTCTGCTCATAAACATTCTTTCTCATGACTTTTTTTTTCTTTTTCTGTTTACTTCAGAAATGGTGAGAAATCCTGAGAGCAGAGCGTTGGTCCCAAGGCGTTGCATGTTTGAGGAAGAACAGTCCCATCGCCTGAAGTTGGAACGATACGTGTGGGAAGATCCTTGGTTCTCCAGGTTAGAAATTTTGGGATGTGACGACCAATTGCAGATATACCGTGTGAACCAGGGTACAGCTATGAGGCAGATGGTCTTCATGCAAAAGCAAGTGCTGTCTCACAGCGGCTCTGAACTCTGGGAACTTGGAGCAGAGTGTGGCCAGAGCTCAAACTTCACTCCCTCTCAGAAAGTTTGCCAACTGGAACATTTCTATAAGCCTGATACACATGGTGAAAGTTGGAGGTGCAAGTCAGCCATCATGTTTGCAGATAAGATTACCTGTGAAAGTAACGATTATGACACAGCCTTCTACCAGTGCATGCGACCTGTTCATCCTGCAAGGATGCAGGCTGGAGATGCTCTTTTCAAACGCTCTGATGCTGTTAAATCTTCCAGTCACGTCCTGCATTTTGGTGATCATAAGGGAATGCACACGGGAGGAAAGCTCTATGAATATAAGGAATGCCATCAAATCTTTAACCAGAGCCCATTGTGTATTGACTATCCAAGACCTCTTATCAGAGAAAACCCGTATGGTTACAAAGAATATGAGAATATCTTCTACTTCTCGTCCTTTATGGAGCGTCAAAATATCGGCGCTGTAGAGAAAGCGTATAAATACAACGAATGGGAGAAAGTCTTTGGGTATGACTCATTCCTCAGTCAGCATACAAGCACTTACACTGCAGAGAAACCCTATGAGTACAATGGATGCGGGACCTCTTTCATCTGGAGCTCTTACCTTATCCAACATAAGAAAACTCATACCGGCGGAGAGAAACCCTACGGATGCGATAAATGTGGAAAAGTTTTTAGGAACCGTTCAGCCCTGACTAAACATGAACGGACTCACACTGGAATAAAACCCTATGAATGTAATAAATGCGGGAAAGCCTTCAGCTGGAACTCCCATCTTATTGTGCACACGAGGATTCACACGGGAGAGAAGCCTTATGTGTGTAATGAGTGTGGGAAGTCTTTCAACTGGAACTCCCATCTGATTGGCCATCAGAGGACTCATACCGGAGAAAAACCTTTTGAATGCACTGAGTGTGGGAAGTCTTTCAGCTGGAGCTCCCATCTGATTGCCCATATGAGGATGCATACTGGAGAGAAGCCCTTCAAATGTGATGAATGTGAAAAAGCTTTTCGGGATTACTCCGCTCTCAGTAAACATGAAAGAACTCATTCCGGAGCAAAACCGTATAAGTGTACTGAATGTGGAAAGTCCTTCAGCTGGAGTTCCCACCTTATCGCCCACCAGAGAACTCACACGGGAGAGAAACCCTACAACTGTCAGGAGTGCGGCAAAGCATTCAGAGAACGCTCAGCCCTCACTAAACATGAAATAATTCATTCTGGAATTAAGCCCTATGAATGTAATAAGTGTGGAAAATCCTGTAGCCAAATGGCTCACCTTGTTAGACATCAGAGGACTCACACTGGAGAAAAGCCCTATGAGTGCAATAAATGTGGGAAATCCTTCAGCCAGAGCTGTCACCTTGTTGCCCATCGGAGAATTCACACGGGGGAGAAGCCCTATAAGTGTACTCAGTGTGAAAGATCCTTTAACTGCAGCTCTCACCTGATCGCGCACCGGCGAACTCACACCGGGGAGAAGCCATATAGGTGTAACGAGTGTGGGAAGGCATTTAACGAGAGTTCTTCCCTCATTGTGCATCTGAGAAACCATACTGGAGAAAAACCCTACAAATGTAACCACTGTGAGAAGGCTTTCTGCAAGAACTCCTCCCTCATCATCCACCAGAGAATGCACAGTGGAGAGAAGCGCTTTATCTGCACTGACTGTGGGAAGTCCTACAGTGGCCACTCGGCCCTGTTGCAGCACCAGAGGAGCCACAGTGCAGAGAAAGTGTGAACTGAACTGACGAGAGGTTTCCTTTCCTTGTACATCTGGTACTTTGAAAAACACCCTATAAAAATAATCAGGAGGGGTTGTTTTTTCGTGAGAGTTCAGGGATGCTCTTCCCCTTACTACTCAACAGAAACATCTAGAAGAAACGTATGAATGAAAGTGATAGAGGAGAGCGTAGCAGTTAGGTAGCCCTGATTTAAAGTCAGATAATTACAGTGAAGAAAGCAAGCCACAGTCCACCAGGATCTTGCTGGAGGAATGTGAATGTAAGGAATGAGACCCTTTTAGTAAGTGATCTCAAGGGTTTGTGGATCAGAGTGCATCGATGGAGAAAAGCCTGGTTCTAGGAAGTGTTTCTGCTGGAAATACGCTTGTTTTGCATCAAACTGGAGTATTGGATGGGAAGCTTTATAATAACGTCCTGTGCATAATTATGGAAATACAGATTTTGCTTTTAGGGGGAGGATCTGGGTGCCCTTCCAGGAATAGAATATGGAATATTGAGTTTGAATTTAAGGGGAAAAGAGTGTTGAATGGGATATTTACTGTTAGTTGAGATTAACCTTAGAAAAATTAGGAAATGAGATTACTAATGGTAGAAAAGTTATTTTCTAGAAGTATGAGGCTGATGTTGTTGGGACATAAAAGTGACATTTAGTATCACACTGTGTCCATGTCCATGGTTTACTCAATGCTGGATGTTTGGAGTTTGTGTTAGGCAATCACTGTAAGTCGTAATTATAGATACTGCGTCAGAGTACATACCCTGAAGGAATACCAAGGACAGAGTTGTATATACGTGTCTACTATAACATCTAACATTGTGTATGGACAAAGGACTGGAAAGACCCATGGATAAATTAACCCACTTAATTTTTAAAAATCTTAAAAGTTTTATGAACACATGTAGCACTCACCACGTGCTGACCTTTGTTTTAAATGCTTTTCAGTTATTAAGGTGTTCAATTCCCTTAGTTCTGTGGGGTGGGTGCTATTATTATCTCAGTTTTACAAATGGAGAAACTGAGGCAGAGATGTTGAGAAACCGACCTGAGGACCGAGCTAGTCCAGAGCGGCCCTGGGATTGTTTGGTTCAGAGTCCATGTTTTTAACCACCGTTATGCCGACTCTCTCCAGCGACCACCTCCGCTCATGGTTCTGTTATTGTTCAGTGTTTCTATGGTAGATATTTGCTAATAAAAATCAAGCAATTCCAGAGTGATGAGAACTGAAGTGACCTGGCTCTCTGTCCTGGAGGGTTCCTGGTAACACGAGGGCGGAGCTCCCTTCAGAGTGTGACCTCTGGGTCAGACGTTCAGACTCACTGCATGTCCTGGAACCCGGGTCCCTCAGCCTCTCACCACCCGCAGCCCCGAGGCTGAGGCAGAGCAGCCGCCGGAGGACCTGCTGGAGGCGCAGACGAGTCAGAGTCCAGCGTGTCCCTCCCCGCAGAGGGCGCAGTGCTCCGCCCGGTCTCCCTGGAATTCCGGTTTATGTCTCCTCCTCTTCTCCAGAGAGATTGCCCTTTGGCTGGATTCATGCGGGGAGGCAGCTCACCACACAGAGCGGGGAAGGCACTCGGCGTGCTTTCAGGGGGGAGGCGAGCCAAATAGGGCGCTTTGGGAACCTTCTCTCCAGATGGCAAGTTGTTCCTGTGTCTTCCTAGGGGCTGTGCCTGAGGGGCTGTCCTAAGGGGCCAGCAGGCCTTCCTGGAGAGGCCCCCAGGGTGTTGGTTGGAAACCCTGGGCAGACAGTCCATGTGGGTGCTGACCCCCAGGGAAACTGTCCTGGGGGCGGAAGATGGTCCCTGCCCGAGTCCGCTCACAAGCTCTTACAGGTGGTGCACCCTTTCTCCCCACCTCTCAGGGCTCGCTGCCTCCTGCCCACCCAGCAAGGGCTGCAGGAGGGAGTTCGGGCAACTGGATGGATTTCCCAGGACGGGCAGGCAGAGGTGTGGCAAGACACCACAGTCAGACCGGGGTGGGGGCGGTGTGGTGTCACTGTTGGCTGCTATCCACAGCTCGAAGCTAGCAACGAGACCACCAGTTGTTTCCATTGTTTGGGGTTTTTTTATTTTATTTTGTTATTATTATTTTCAAATATATTGATTTTAAAGAGGAAGGGAGAGGGAAAGAGAAACATAATGATGAGAGAGAATCATTGATTGGCTGCCTCCTGCATGTCTCCCAATGAGGACCAAGCCTGCAATCCAGGCATGTACCCTCAACCAGAATCGAACCCAGGACACTTCAGTCCACAGGCTGGTGCTCTATCCACTGAGCAACACCAGCCAGGGCTTATTTTTTTTATTTATTTTTTTAATGTTATAGACTGGATGGCTTAAACAACTGGAATTTATTTCCTCACAGTCTTTTTTTTATTTTTATATATAATATATTTTTACTGATTTCAGAGAAGGGAGAGGGAGAGAGAGAGGAACATCAATGAGACAGAATCATTGATCAGCTGCCTCCTGCATGTTGGACCGAGCCCACAACCCAGGCATGTGCCCTTGACTGGAATCAAACCTGGGACCCTTCAGTCCAAAGGCCGAAAATCTATCCACTGAGCCACACTGGCTAGGGCTACTGTATTTTATTTCTAAAATATATTTCTGCTTTAACCAGTTTGACTCTGGCTAGAGCGTTGGCCTATAGACTGGAGGGTCCCAGGTTAGATTTCTGTCAAGGGCATGTACCTTAGTTACGGGCACATCCCCAATGGGGGCTGTGCAGGAGGCAACTATGCGATGTTTCTACTCTATTTCTCTCCCTTTCTCTCTGTAAAAAACAAAAACATATTAAAATATACTTCTATTGGTTTCAGATGGGCCCAGGTCTGTGTTGTGGACACCCGGCTAAGGAGACAGCCAAGAGCGGGGTGTGGGTTGTGGGGTGTGGGGTGGGCCCAGGAGGGAGAACCTGGGGAAAGTTGGGGAGACAGGAGGAGCTGGGCCTGGGACCAAAAGCAGATGGAAGAGGAATCCCAGGAGGCTGGGTCAGGGCCTCACTCTGCTGCCTCTGTGATCAGTCCCTTCCTCATTCCTGCCCCACAATCCCTCTCCTCTCAGCCTCCCATTGGCTGGCATAGTTCCGTGGGGTGAGTCCACATGGCAACCTGGGCTGACCTCACACTGGTGACTCCAAGGCAAAAAGAACCCAGGTGCTGGACAGGAGGCTGTGCTTCAGGGCAGATGCTGGGCTCCAGGGGAACCGCTCCTTCACCCGCAATATAAAAGGCCAGCATCGCTGGCATGATGGACGCGCCTCCGAGTTCCTTCGCCTTCCTGCTTTTGTTTCTGTTGGGATGGCCGTTGTGTGAATGCTTGCCTTATCCAGGTGAGTTCAGACCTGGTTGGAAAAACGACAGGCCTTTTAAAAAATATCTATACATAGCCCTAAACTGGTTTGACTCAGTGGATAGAGCATCGGCCTGTGGACTGAAGGGCCCCAGGTTTGATTGCGATCAAGGGCATGTGCCTTGGTTGTGGGGACATCCCCAGGAGGAGATGTGCAAGAGGCAGCTGGTTGATGTTTCTCATCAGTGTTTCTAACCATCACTCTCCTTTCCTCTCTGTAAAAAATCAATAAAAATATATTATTTAAAAAAACTATATATATATATAAAACCCTAAGTGACCAAACAACCCATCAACTGGTTGCTTTGATGTGCACTGATCACCAAGGGGCAGATGCTCAATGCAGGAGCTGCCCTGGGGTAGTCTGTGTTCCCACAGCCAACTTTCCATGGTGGGCCAGCCTCCCGTGGTCCCTCCCCTCAGCCACCCAGCTTCCCCTGATCAGTCCTCATTGCCGGCCAGGCTGAGGGACCCCCACCTGTGCAAGAATGTGCACCGGGCCACTAGTATGTGTGTATATATATATATTGACCAGAGAGGAAGAGGGAGAGAGAGACCTCCTACTGGGGATGTTCCTGAGACCAAGGCACACTCCTTTGAGCGGAATCGAACTGGGACCCTTCAGTCCCCAGGCCAACACACTATCCACTGAGCCACACCAGTCAGGGCGTGTTTATTGTTTTCTGTTTTCAGGCAATAGGAGGCATGACCCCACTGAGCTCGTGAAGGACGCCTCCGCGCATTCGCTGGCCGCCAGCCCCTCCTCCCGGGAGGCAGGTGGGTGGTATGGCCCTCAGGCTGCCGTGCGATGTCCTTCTGCACAGCAGGAGCCCCCTGGGCCCATCAGGGCAGCCCCCAGAGGTCAAGCCAGGCCCCTCTCCTTGGGTGTGGGCTATGTGGATGGCAGGGGCCTGGAATCACAGCCTGGCCGGCATGGCCTAGGGACCCACTTCCCTACCGAGCAAGGGAGGCAGGTGGGAGGGCAGCCCACAAGGACGTGGGAACTCAATTGTCCATACAGGTCGTGCAATCTTGCCTCCTTATTTTATTATTTTATTTTTTATTTTTATTTATTTTATTATTTTTTTTATAAATAGTTTTTTATTGTAACAAAAATACAATTTGCTGCCAAAACCGGTTTGGCTCAGTGGATAGAGCATCGGCCTGCGGACTGAAAGGTCCCAGGTTCGATTCCGGTCAAGGGCATGTACCTGGGTTGTGGGCACATCCCCGGTAGGAGGTGTGCAGGAGGCAGCTGATCGATGTTTCTCTCTCATCGATGTTTCTAACTCTCCCTCTCTCTTCTCTCTGTAAAAAATCAAGCATATTTTTAAAAAAAAATACAATTTGCATATTAGCCTTTTTAAAAATATATTTTATTTATTTTTTACAGAGATGAAAGGAGAGAGAGGGATAGAGAGCTAGAAACATCGATGAGAGAGAAACATCTATCAGCTGCCTCCTGCACACCCGCTACCGGGGTTGTGCCCGCAACCAAGGTACATGCCCTTGACCGGAATCAAACTGGGACCTCTCAGTCCACAGGCAGATGCTCTATCCACTGAGCTAAACCAGTTTTGTCTATATTAGCCTTTTATTCTACAGGATATACATTGAGTGACCAGGTTATTATGTGGTCAGAGAG